CCATAGCAACAGAGGCAGCAAACAGGCAGCTCATGAGAGCTATTAACACCAATGTATTTCAGCTCCAGCAGACCCTGAGAAAGACAAAGGCGAACGCACATGAAGCAAAGCAAGTTGTGAACTGAGCAGGGTTTGTTCTCCAGATTTAAATGCTTACTGAATTATTCAGCTCGGTGCAATTACGTTTGCTGGATTAAGTCCCTCGAATGTAGGTCTCGTATCGTCAGAGGAAACATGCAGATGTGGCTACTGATAGTTTTAGGAAACAGGCTGGATAAATAATATTCCACTTAAAATGTGGAAAATGTTCAATTGAGATGATCCTAATGCTTTAAATGGCAAATTTTCATGTGTGAAGAGTGTGATTTTGATAGACTATTACAATTATGCATTTTAAGGAACAATGCATCCCAAGATCTCCACACCAGCACAATCTAATTATCTCTTTCTACATGTGTTAAAATCCTGAACAGAGCAAAATGCATTGACCTGCTTTTATCCTGCAGGTAGGACTGCTGAGATGTTCTTCGAAATTATTGATGCTCTGGCAAAGGAAAGCAGACTACAAGCTTTATCCACGACAAACAAGTGAATTTATAAAGCCTGCAGCAGTAAAAAGCTCTGCTGATGGAATCATGCAAATGACATTCAAGATGCTAGAAACAAGCTTTTTAAATGATTTAAATGATCATCCTTGCAGGCAGGAATTATGAAACAGGACCTTTGCATTGTACCCCTCTATCTCATCTGCATGACCTTACTCTGTCTTTGCTCAGGTTAGCGCTGCTGGCAGCATACAATTTCCTCTTGCAACACTTGAGCCACTGAGGCGCGCAGCTCAGACAGCATGTAGGTAACTGGCTGCTGTGTATCCGGTGGACCGGAAGGCCATATATGGTCATGGATAGAAAAGAAGAGCAAAGAAACATGGAAAAAGGCTTTAAAAAAAACTTTATTTAGCAGATATACAACAGAGATTCTAACACATGTAAAACTAATGCACCCACATACAATATGCAATCATGCATTTGGTAAATTATGCAAAAATTATACATTTACTGTCATTTTTGTGTTGCATCCCCAGTAAAATGTGTGGAAATTGAAATAGTTCTCTCCCTTTCATGCATTTATCAAATGCACCTGGCATTTTGTTCCATATGTAGACATCAGGCCTTCATGTTTGGTCTCTCACTCTGCACATAATGTTCTGCAAACGTGAAAAAAAAAATCAATCTGCTTTTGTAACAAAATGAGAACACTCTCTATGATATGTGGCAGAGAAGGACAATATTGTTTAATTTGATTTCTGCAATAAGGACTCGATGTTTTCATCATGACTGCACAAGTTAAAACGGCAAACATGGACATGCATGATGTGTGACAATGCAAAATACATATTGGCTGCAGAGTTTATAAAGCATGACTAAACATATAGACACACAGTCAGTGTTTTAGTTTACTTTCTGTGCGTTTCACAGTCGGCGTTCTCTGCTTGCACAAGTGCACACTGCCACCAATTGTTGCAGAGCTGCTACTGCCTCATTTGGACTGCTTCCTGTCACTTCTGAGAGAAAAGATGTCACTCAATAATCGGAAATAAACGTCGGAAAAGAAGCTAGCAGCACAAGCATTTCTTCCGCTGCTCGCTCCTTTTCTAAGACCCGAGCGGACCTTCAACCTTTCCGTCTTTTGTGTTCCTCCTTTCTTTATTTACAGACCAAGGATGCTGCACAAAAAAAAAAAACAGTGGGGCAGCAGAAGCGCTTCCACATCATCAGGGTCATCTCTGGGCTCAATGGATTGACACAATGCAGCACGTCATCAGCACAAAACCCCACGCCAGCACTGGCTCGTCGACCTTCACCCCCCGTGGATTCAGACGATGAAACGGGCTCGTCGGTGATGGTGAGCTCATGCGGCTCTCTGCCGGGCCGAGCTCTGTCGGGCTTTGGGGTGCTCTTCATCAATGGAACTCCAACATGACTCATCTGTACTGAACACCCACCTCCTATCCTCGCAGTGCGAAGCCTGCCTTTGTGGTGCTGAGAGTGTCTCATCCAGCACTTGAGAGACGAGCACCCTCCGTATATCATTTGTATTGCTTCAAACGTCAGTGAAATGACATCAGACAGAGGTACAAATCTGTGAAAAGAAACAGAAGGCTGTTTTCCCACTTATCTGCGTTAGATTTGAAGTAATTCGTACCGTGTGAATAGGAAAGGTTTAATCACCTCCACAGTGGTCCGGAAGCTGAACTATTGCTTGGACAGAAGAATGAAATGGCAAGAACTTCTTTGTTTTGCCTTAGATGTAAATATTATCTCAAATTAAATCTCTATGCAAACTAAGGAGGAATGTACAATTATGAAAACATTCAGAAATTGTGTCCATCAGGAAAGGATAGTGCCTTGCTAAAGTATTCATACTTCTAGGTTGTTTTTTTTTTTTTTTACATGTTCCCACTTTTTTATGTCTTTTGCTGTATGCATGACAGCAATTTTCTTTAAGGCCTTACATATTTAATCCATTGTATTTGGATCTTGACTTTGACTAAGCCATTCTAAGACTTTAGAAATGATCTAAACTATTCCATTGTAGTTCTGGTTGTATCTTTACTGCTGTCTTTCTCGAGGGCTCTAACAGGTTTTCCTCCAGTATTCAGTATCATCCATCTTCCCTGCTCCTTTGCAGAGGAAGGTAGACTTTAGCTATCAAAAAAATTGACAGTCAGTGGCTAGTTTTACATTTTGACACATTAAATCCATACATTTGGTTAAATGATGTTTGGCCTTAAAGAGATAGCCCACTGCAAAATGGTGCATGTTTTTGAAGCAGAAGGAAAGGCAGGAATGATTTTTTTTTTTTAAGTTTTTGCAACAAAAAAGTCTTTACAGTGCAGTGCATTCGCACTGTAGAATTAAAGTAGGGTTCTTTAATAAAACAATGTCTCTGAGCATTGTTCAATCAAAAAGAATGTGCCACAACTAGAAACAACTTTAAAAGCTGCCAAACAGGTTGCCAGCCAATGACAGGGCAGGGCAACACAGGGACACACAGAACAAACAACCATGCATGCACACACTTATATGTTAGCATAATTTACAGAGACCAATTAGCCTAGCAGTCCTGTTTTCGGACTGTGTGAGGAAGACGCAGCACGCATGCATGGGGACAACATGCAAACTCCTTGCAGGTCTGAATTTGACCCCATGACCTTCTTGTTTATTAACAAGACAACAGGTAACTACCAGCTATACCACCATGCAGCCTGCAATAAACCCAATGAAATTCAATTAAATTTATGAAAAGTTCAAGGGGCATAATTACTTTTTTTCTGCAGTATTTATTTTCTTGATGATCCATATGGTCACATTTTCCTGCAAGACGCTATTTATTAAAAAAAAATCCTGTTGTTTTTGTTTTCACATTAAAACATAATTAAGCACATTTAAATGTGGGGCAACTGCTCTCCACTACACAAATCTTTGCAACATCTTCAACATAAATTCCTCCACTGTAGTTCTCCCCCTCGCTATGCGGTGGCAGCGCTGAGCACACACGCTCCTCTCTCAGCTGGAGTTTCTCCACGCCCAGTTTGGAGACGTTTACTTCAAATTTCCGCTTTTCTCACCCGAAGTTGTTGGGTTAGGAGGTGGCCCAGGTTTGGCGTCTTTTGAGGCGGAATTTAGTTGTGTCTGACAGGTAATGGCGCGACTGTTTCTGAGGGGAAGCCTGCAGAGGTGCATCGCCACCCAGATCAGGATGTCATCTGACCAGGTAAATGGTTGGGGGACTTGTTCCATGAGGTTAGCATTAGCTCGCCTAGTTTATCTGTCACTCGCACACAACAAAGTCAGTTTGCTGCTTTGACACTACTTATATTAGTTGCGTTATGGGTGTTTAAAGTAACTTTTTTTTTTTAACAGGGATTTCACTTTTTAGCCAGTGCTTTAAAACAAATTACTTTTGCATTTTTTAAAAAATGAAATGAAATTGAAACATTTGAGAAATCTCTCATATGTTTGCTTATTATTCTTTAAGATTAACGTTCTTGTATCCATAACTCCAGTCCTGTTTGCCCAGCAATCAATCGTTGCACCTTTCGCAGAGGGAGTGCATTCAAGTTTTCTCACACTGTGTTTAAACAGCCACTTTGGTCAGCAATCGACCCAAATCTGTTTGCTTATCACAACTCACAACTAAACATAGTAAAACCAACAAAAGTAAAGGCTGCGTGCTCGGCTTTCGTTTAGCCTCCCCACCTCTGACAGACATTTCAGCAGCTCCCCCCCCCCCCCCCCCCCCCCCCCCCCCCCCCCCCGCCCCCCCCC